GTACGGCAGTGAAGCATTGGTGTTGAGCACTGATGTCATGCTGTTGATGATGATGATGATGATGATGATGGCTGCTGGTAAAATTAGCGTTCTCCACGGAGAATTAAGCAGTCTGTTTGCTTCTGAGCCACGAGGTTTCCGTACTATCGGATTCCGAAGTTGTCGAATTCATTCGCTCTAAAGTAATTGTATTCATCGCTAAACGAGTAGGTGTGTTTTGTAAACTAATGATCACTTGTTCATCTCAACAGCTGGTTATCTCACCTAACTGTCCAATCTGGAGCAGATACAGAGTGCTACATCTACTGCTACGCTGAAAACACGTGTTTTTATTGGGAAGCTCACCGTCAATTTCTTGGCGACGCACATAGGGACGTATATTGTATGTCTTTTCCATCGGTGATATCCGGAGCGTTAGGTGCTCGAAGTGGCTTTCTGTGCCCATCACTATTTAAGCCAAGTTGTGTAATGGCTTGGACTACCTGGCAGTCTGTTTGTGTCTAGGATGCGTCCTATGTGTGGTGTGGGTCGCCGAACATCCTTTCGCACATTGTGTGTGTGGTTGTGTCTACTGCCCTGATGTAAGGAGGCGTAAGTAATTTTCCAGGTTAGTTGTCGGGCTAAATTCTTCTTCATCGTTATTCCAACTCCGCTCCATCTACGTTGTATTTTATTGTGCTGTTGCGTGTGGCCTGATACATCCTACTGTATTCTATTTACGTGTACTTCATATATCCATCCGCAAAAGACCCGCACTAACACTGGACATTCTGGAGTGATAAGTCTACTGCGGTGCTAGATGTGACCGTAGTTTTACAGACTCAGTTGAATGGTAGCTAGCAGCTGCTAGCTCTACTTGTGTGCATAGGATGTATCCTGAGTGCCGCGGGCACCAAACGCCCCTATGCATTGTAGGCTCAACTGTTCAAGTGATTATTATGGTCCACCAGTTGAGCATGCGAATGACTACGTGCAAGAAGAACCACACGGATTGAATCCAGAAGGGCCGGAAGATCCCACCACACTTAGTTGGGCGGTGGCTAAATAATAGATAGTAATCGTTCAACTGTAACGCCTTTCCGGTGCCTGGCTGCCATGCCACCCGAAGGAAGCACAAGAGCTGGGATACTTCCAGGTTGCCCCAACCGAGACATGAGAAGTCGAGATACAAAGGTCGGATTCGGCGACCTGCGCAATGTGCATTGGTCTGGAATGAGACGATTTCACCCCGGTACACCGTTGTACTGTTTCATTTATTCTGATTTGTCACCAACGCGGGCTAGCTGTAGTCAACGGGTTCTACAAAGACAGCAGTATTCGCACTTGTGGAGGGTTTCGCGGTCTTCAGATCTGAGGGACAAAGCTTTGTAACCATAGATTACTGTCGCGCTTGCCTTGTATACAAGATGGGTTTCGTCCTTGACACCATGTGTCCTGTGTCGCAATTCAACCGAAGCTGATGGGGTACATCAGCTGGCCAACAAACTTAAGCTTCGTGGAGAGACGCAAGGGATTGAAGTAGGATTGCAAATGCATGCAGATACAGAGAACCACTCTACATCCTATTTTGCGTTGACCGAAACCTGTCTGGTGGCTGTAATCGTCCAGTGTGTGGCATTTAAGCACCAGTATATTTTACTGGTGTTTCATTGTCCATGGTGTTGATAAGCTAAGCCCACTGACTCCTTCACGTGTCCTTCCGGCTCACTGTTTATGCGCTTTTGAGGTACACATTTCGTGACCATATAAATTTAGACGCAGAGGATCATAATTGGAAATTTACCTTGATCATCCTGTTTGCACGAAGTTAGTTGTGTATGAGATGGAAGGGCTGGATTAAACCTATCTCCCTTAGAGTCGATTGTCACTTTTGGGCAAAACAGTAGGCGATGCGGATCAGGGCCTACGCTACAGATATCCTTTACCGAAGATCACACGTTTTATCGGAAGTCTCGTTGCATCGTTTTGTGTAAGTGCCGCAAAATGTGTCTGATCATTCAGGCGTCTTAATTTGCTGAATAGTTGAGTCATCGAATTATTTTCAAGTCAGTTCATATCCAGGGGCCCATATTTTTAGCACAGCGCGAAAAGTAAAAACTCGAAAAAATCGCAGGATAGTTTTGTAAGAAAAAACATTTGATTTCACGGAGAAATCTGCTGGAAGTGCGATATATATGCCTCGTTTTTTAGTTGTACGAACTCGTCCGCTACCTTAATCTGAAAAGGAGCAATTTTGGTTCGCTTGACCCATCGACTGCCTTTCGCACACATGTACGGAACAAATCTTGGGGCTGAACCTACTATCTGGACACAGTTAATTTCCTCTCGTTTGACTGATCAGCTCTTGATTATTAGGAGTTGACCAAACCAATACAAATCTGAAACCAGGTGGAACGTTGCGGTCCCGATCAGGTACCCAGAATTAAATGTCTATCAACAAGGCAGCAGTAGCTGGCCAGAGGAGTCTAGTCTGGAAAGCCATGGATGTGCTAGGCGAACCTCTAACCATTGACCACTCTCGTATGACAGAATGTGCTCCACAGATACCTCGAACTATAGCTCAGTGAGTCACGGGGGCACGCGAATCGTTCAGTCTTTTTTCTTTGTCATCTGGATTGCATCAGCAGTCAAACACGGTGGCAGTACAGGTCGTCTGGGACTTATTTGTGCCACGACAAATAGTCCGTTTAAAAAGGTGGTCTATCGAGCTGTCCGCAAACGACACGTCAATACAAGTGGTTGCATCACAAAATCTGACCACATCCACAGGCAATACCTCTCACGTCCTTCGGAAAAGCACGAATCGGAACTATGAAGCCCGGTCGACAGCGGTAGATTGGTCGCCTCTTCTGTGAAAAGACTTGTGATTTTAAGAAACATGTAATGCTAAGTATTCTTTCTTGGCGTTCGACACCTATTTGCAGTCCACATTACATGCCACCCCCAATGTTGTACAGATTATCGAGTCCGTTTCTCAGAAATGGTGCTCTTTGTATCTGACAGTGTCCTTTATGTGCTAAAAATTGAATGATATGATGTCTTTTGTGTGGACAGACTGCTTGCATCGCTGTTGTTGCAGGTTTGACGATAAACTCAACCTCTGTTCCAGTGATGCTTATGTCACTGAAGTCAACGTCCATCAACCATTTTCATCATCATTGACAGCAATACACTCGGAATACAAACTGGTAATTAATATAACCATGACGGAAGGAAGAATGGAAAAAGAAGGGAATGGGCGTAACTCGATCCTTAGGGAAGATGACAAAGAATAAGGTATCTATACCTTTTGACAGAGCTCAACCGTAAGCACGTTACCATCCTCTTGAGTTAGGGTGCGCTTTAGGCGAATTGACCCGATGTCTCTTACGACCGTCGCCGGATATAACCCCAGTGTACAACGGTAGGCGAAATTTAGCTAGCCTGTCCGGGCAGGAAATGACAGCATACGTGCCATTGGGCTTGGTGGCGTGACACATCTAGTCGACTCTAGCTATGGTCCTGAGTCACCAGTGGTCAAAGTCCTGAAGGTGTTTGAGATCCTTTGCCGTAGTTGGCCAAGTCTCGCAGCCGTACAACAATACAGCCCTTACCGTAGTCTTATAGACACATCCTTTGAGACCCAATGATACGCCTTTTGATGCAACAAGTGGCGCGAGCAGGAAAAACGCAATTTTGATCATCGTGATTCACGCGTCGACTTCGTCTGCCACAACTCCATAACTCGTGGTTAGTCAGTCCAGGTTGGACGAGCATCGTTCATTTGCCGTACACGGCAGTTCATTAATAACTTATGGTTGTCACTACCCGCTTATGGATGATCGCCTGTAGCTTCCTTTCTCTGGTTAGACGGGTTCATTGATTTGCTACTGTTGGATACATCTTATCAAGAGGAACTACTCTGGCTCCAGACCATCTTAGAGGTGCGATCAGCTCGGAAGGCATCATATGCCCTGATAACAGCTGGTTACTTCAGTAGGAAACTAGGTGTTTATAATTGACTTGAAACTGCTCCAAGCGGAGCCTTATCTAGGCATCTTGTGAACTGTTCTGAGACTTTCCAGTGAGGCGGAAGTGGTGGTTATCTGCAGAACTGACAATTTTTCTATGTTCTATTCTATATTCAATGTTTTTATTTAATTTTTAGGCGAGGATTATACTTCAAAACCTTTCAAATCCATTCACCTTCACGCTTGCTGTTGGACGTTCGTGTTTGCACACTTCTGCAGTTGATCTGGGAACCGCTCGAACATACGAATCTAAACCGATACCGGGTAGCAGAGAACACTTGAACCCGAATGAATGGGCGGAACGTTTGTTTAAGCTTTACGAACGGCGTAAAGATCGGGCAAATACCACCCCAACGTCGTCAGAACCGCCGTTACTGCACATGGTGTGCCGTGTTAAACCTTTAAAAAACACCGTTCATTATGAACGAGCTATTCTTGAGAGGCATGGTCTCGGGGAAAGTATCAAGGTATTTTTGTGATTGGCATTATCCATAACACTAACTAAATGGGATAGAACTTACAGTGGGTCCTGGTCAAGAATACGCCTTCCGTAAATGCAGATTTATATCAAGTGAAGCATTTGGTACGGATACAACCTGTGCAATTTCCCCAAGGCTTACCTACGGCTTTGGATGATTTGACGCAGTGTCGCCTTCGACCTGATGGACGTTTTCTTCGATACCGAGAGAACACCGTAGAGGGACATGTCGTGACAGATAATGGGTCACCCCAGTTACTGACCACCGCGATGAAACCCGATCTGCCTGAAGAGGTGAGCAGTGGTGGCACCCCAGTTGACGATTTTTGAACATTTTTTGCTACAATTAGTTGCCAGAGTGTAGGAACTACATTGCCCTCCGTCGAAAAGAGAAACTTGAAGGTAACACATCCGAATCACCAGAAGTCGACGCACGATGGGGGCATAAAGTGATTTCATACTGTCTATTGACAATCGGCTCTGCGTGAGCGGGAATTTTTTACTGCATTCAAATTCCGCCTCTCCATAAAGCCTATAGACAGCAGTTTACTCATTCAATCACTTTCCAACTGCAGTTACAGCCATGTCATTTTGTTGGGCTGTTCACCACATACCCATACATAGTTCGACTCGTCTAGTGGTGTTGCTTGATAACTGATCACATTACCAGAGTTGTCGCTTATTGCGCATGTCAGTTCAGCGTCTCGACAGGATGTATGGTATCGAGTAGCAGTGACACGTGCGGCGGATCCAGTTTCTGAGTGAGCACTGAATGAGTTATGAATGAGCACATTAATAAGTCACGGCACAGGGACTTTCAGACGAGTAGCAACTTCCTGAAAGTGCCTAAAGCAAAGGACATTTCAGTATGATTTAGGTAATCACAAATGCCCAGCTTTGTCGTTTAGTGTGGCGAACGAAGCATGTCCACGAATGTGGTTAGTGGTGGTAACCCTTATACGGATTCGATCGATGCTGAGATTTCTGGGTGATTTCGAATGAGGCGTGTGGCAAATTCATGTGAGAGCAAGGTACTTCCATGCGATATCACCCTAGTGGACTGCATTTATCGGTAGGTCCACCGTGACGTTTCGGGTTACGTAAAGACTATATTACTAATACAAGTGAGGGAAAACGTCATCCTCCTGAGATCATGTCGATAAGCAAGGCATGTGAAACAACCAGCCGTCAGAAAAGCTAACGCTTTGCCGAGCAGCTGTCAGCTGACGTCGACTTTTCAAACAATGGAAGTGATGGTTGATATTTTTCTGAGTGATTAGCGGTAATGCGATAAACCATTGGATCGTTTACAGGCATTGTTTCATCGGTCTGAACCCGATGGACACCTTGCAACGAGAAAACTTGACTGCTATGCGGGGCACCTCTACTTCGGAGCCACCGCTGGGAAGGAATGCGGGAAAATGCAAAACAATGAAAGTTTCGTATCCACTCGTAGTGGAGCTCCTCACCAAGTTTATCAGTGGTCCTGACTCGACCCGTTTTTGCGAACTGTCATTCGTGTTTCCGATAAACTGGTTAAATTTTTCTCCAGAACTCTTTACCACTTCTTGGCGAAACCTGATCTTGCTTATCAGGAGGGGGGAGTTACCCTTATGATATTTCTCCATCCCTGCCTGACACTGTGGTGTGGGTAGACCTACGGCTCTGACATAGAGTTTTAATATTTTCGTGTGATAGCTGTATGTCAATGGTACTTGCAAGTATATCGTGGTTTACCGTGCGAGACTGTTCATTGCCCTAACCGACTAGCTGTCAAGCTCTTCATAACACACCTAATAACATCCAGTTTCACCTGTAATGAAATAGCTCTTTCATTTCTTAATGTTTCCCGGTTAGACCAGTGCGAATAGATCATAAACTGTTGACCGGCTCCACCCTCAAATTGTTGTATAATCTTGAATCATGTTAGCAACAATACAAGTGCCAGATATGCGAACCACTCTTTACTGTGTAGTGCTTGTGTCTAGTTGTGAGCTGTAAGGTAGCAGCGGCACTGCAAATTTCGCGTGCCACCATAACATTCGTGACGTAGCACTGTAGTTTAATCCGGCTGCTACTTTGCTGAGCATGTTTTTTCGTTTGAATTCATCTCTAAACTTGACTATGATATCACTGCCTAATTTACCTGTGAGTTGTCAAAATTCAGATTAGCTTTGTAGAGAGCACTGTGAGGGAAGGTCAAAATATGGTACGTCGGTCCTGTCTCAGGCGAATTTTTTCCCAGTTGTTACGTTGATGATCTTCCAAGGGTCACTTAGATGTCGGCCTCTTAGAGCGGGTCAGATGTAGGGACTAGTCACGTAAGGCAGAGTCCGATAGCTTGAAAGCACAAGATCTCATACCACTTCACTCTATCCGACCGCACACTGATGATGTCGCCTCAGTTGGTGATGAAACGTATGCAGGTTGATTTCCAAACACGGCGAACAGACCAACGGCCACCTAATCAGTCACAAAACTTCAGGATCATTGAACGGTTCCGACGAATACAGGGTGGCTTCTGAAGATATTCGGAGAGCTTCTCGCCAGTCAGCTGAATTCCAGTTGTGACGACGCGAAGCGCACTATCACTAGTCAGAATTACCCTACTGTATTGATTGAGTGTCGCTGCTGTTTCATTCGTTAACATGATTGTGAGGTAGGTCACTACGTGAAATCCTGGGCTTCCGATTGCGGGGTTTGTAGTTCGATTCGACCACTGGCTTTGCAGCTGATCCTTTTTGTGCTCAGACACTAGTAGCCGCTGATTGCGAAATGAGGTCTATTATTTTCTTAGCCGAGCGTACTACTCAAAACTCTGCCGAAAACTCTAGGACAGCCAGATGCTTGTTTTCACTCTTGGAGCTCATCAGGCAGGCGCAGTCCCCGAGTTACCATCAACTTACGTCCTACCTGAGCACCAGGTATACCCATTTGTTGGTGTTGACATCTACGCCTGACGGCTGACTCCCTACGGCAGTGAAGCATCGGTGTTGAACACTGATGTCATGCTGTCGATGATGATGGCCGACTCCGGAGAAGTACGAAACCGGTAGTGGGATTTTTAACAGCTTTCAACGTTACAACTAGCATGTTCGATCATAAAAATAAACAGCAATATCTCAAGCACCGTGCTAACGGAAGCCTTTGTGCTCCATACTCATCAACCAGAGATTCCGTTCTGTCTCTGGTTAACGCCAATGTGATTTGAAAACGAATGTATGCCGTTAATGAGGCAAGTCTCCCTAAGGTAGGAGTAACCTCTTTTGACATGAGAAATCCTATCGATCACTGACGGAAGGTTTGCTGTGGAGTCTTTTGAGTAACGGAAGCCTTATTCGTCAAAAACACCTTTCGACTATTTACGAGACCACTCAGCGACGGTCAAAATGTGGTAAGGAAAGCGCAGCGATTTTCCCGCTGCTTTTCTGAATGACAATCGTCACTGTATCCTGGTATGAAAGGTACGTAGTGGAAGAGCTGACTCTTAAAACACCAGTATATCTAAGCGTTCCATCATACGTTTGGATTTCAGTTCCCATAGTTTGATCAATCTTTGCTGGAAAGCATAGAAGCATGGTACAGGTATAGACGCAACACATTCCCCATAAGATGGCTGAGGACTCTTGGACAGCTCTTTTATCCGTACACGCGATTATCGGCAATATTCATGTGAAGTTCTTAGAAGGAAAGTGAAGCATTTTTCTGGTTGGGTAGGATGCTGAACCTCTCATCCCTATGTACAGAGACATCACGTGATTGACTTCCCCAGTAGCGTCCACATTATCGTTGTCGTTTCTGAGCAGGTTATTTGTGTTGTGTGACGCCATAGTCAGTGTGCTGCTCCATAGTCTTACGCCCGGAAAATCCTCATTTTCCCTTCTCCCCTACTTTTCAGTTATTTGAACATTCCAACGCAGGTCGAGGATACCTCAAGCGACGCTACCTCAGACAGTGGCACAATCAGCAGTGGTCACACTTTTCCCTTTTCCAGAATTTCTTCACCTCACATTACCGGTACAAGCTCAACCAAGACGGGTCAGAGTACCGGTATAGTCATCTGTGGCGACTGGACGATGCAATGTTTAACGCGATTCGTAAACGTGTTAATACGGACGGGTCGATGAAATCGCCGAACCAGAACCGTTTCGAGGCTAACTGGTGCACTTTTCCTTGGGCTAGATTTTAGTCAACTTTTGTTGCAATACCTGGGTTGCGCCACCTGTCCTTTTTGTCCGCTAATCATTCGCGGTCTGGGATTTGAGCATGCAAATACAATTCTTATTTGAAAGCAGAGGTACTAGCTCATGATAAGAGATGTAGTGTCAGTGTTGTGATACTGTCGAGCCATGGGAGCATGAAGGGACGCCATGTGCAAGCCTATGGTACTCAAAACAGGCTTTTATACGTAAGCAGCTGCCTAAATGCTATTGTTTTACGGGGCCTAGGCTTGATAGGTGCGATAGGTTTGAACTGGCGAACTCATATGTTGCGTACATACCGCATCTAAGTGGGACAGCCATTGACACACTTGGCAAAAGTATGTTTATCGCCAACTAAACAAAACTGGTTAGTCAGCCATGAGGTACATTATTGTACTGAGACAAACGATCTTCCTGTACATGCCCTATCAAACAACTCTTCCAGTAGCGACCCTAACACCGTTGTACGTCTATGTACACGAATCTTAAGTGGTTACTTACCTCTCTAACTGTAACGAATATGCTCATTTTTGGAGGTATAATCCAAAGGGAGTATTTTAGAAGGAAACTATCACCGACATCACGCTCAAGCTTCGGTGATGATGCCTTCACATCTAACAGCCGGGTGCAAACTGCCCGCTATTAGAGCAAGGCACAGTTCCATATGCGATAATGCGAGCCACACAAAGCTCCGATGGTTCATTCAGAGCTGGTACGATGTGACGGGGTAGAAAGAAGTGGTATAAACCAATCACATCTAGAAAAACAGGTGAGCAACCACAGTCGAGAGCTGTAACTATTTATATTTCGAAGCAGAGTGAATAAATTTGCAGCAAAGGTAAGTTTTTTTGGAAATATCTGAAGAGCGTTTGTCTGAACAGAAAGACTGTATATCAGGTCGACTGTAACCCCATTACAGACGACATTCATAGTAGTCCTTGCATTAATCTTTTTTGTCAATTCGTCTGAAAGAGAAAAAACAAGACATGCAATATTAGTCACAAGTCACACGAATCGCGCCTGTGAAAATTGAATAAAAGCACTTAAGTTCACGCTAGTCGAGGTTGCTAATGTGTTATCGCAAGTAAGCAAACGAGGTCTACAAAGCGCTACCGCATAATCGATAGGGGCTTCTAGTACCACTACTATCACCCGTGACGGTGAACTAAATCCGAGGCGGAAGCATATTTCTGCGTTTCGTTGCACACCGAAAGGTTTGTTCCACATTAATGCAGGTGTAATCAACCTCAAATCAACATGTCCCTAGCACATCTCGTGTGTTTGGAATGGACATCAGGGTGTACGTGTATAATTTACTGATCGGTAAACATTTGCGGTAGGTGTATAGAGGCGACAGCAATTGACGTTGAGTACAAAAATACAACAGACAAGGAAGTGCATGTCGGATGGTTCTCAGCCACAGCGTAGCAAGAACGTTGAAGCTGCATAGGTTTGAGAACCCCGCTTGTGGTCTAAAGAATCGCTCCTCGTATTTAAGCAGTTACAGTATTCGAAACCAACTTAACACACTACGTACTCGCTGCGCTTGTCAAGGAGATATCTCTCTAGAAATTGCAGGTTAGAGTGACTCCATTCTCTAATTGCACGGACTCATACGCGTATTCATTCGAAAGGCCAATGATCGTGTAAGAGAAGGTAGATGAGCAGTTTTGACAGCATTCTGGGTGTGATTTTTTGGTGTAAAGCTGGCGTGCCACTCGAAGGAAGCAGGATGGCCAAGATACTGCCAAGTTTCCCGGGACCACTCGATATGCTGAGGTCGGGTTCGAACTGTGGACCCTTCGGGCAGAAGGCTGGTGTCTTAACCATTGGGCTATCTCGTGCATCAGTGACTGTCACAGCTTAATGACCACTTGCCCAGAAGAGACTTGAGTCTATGAACAACTACTGCAGATATTTTCTACAAAGTTGATCGATTCTGTAGAGAGGTGGAATACGTAGTTTCAAACTTACTCATCTGGGACGAAGTGCACTCGGTACCCGCGAAAAAGGACCATGCCATCCTTGCCCTTCGACCTGAAATGGAAAAATAAAACCGATCTAACGGCTCGAGAATACATATCCTCCAGAATAAAGAGTCGTTGGTGATGTCGGAGAGAAAGGGGATGCACAGGGAACGTAAGGCACTGTCACTTTTGTTTACCGATCAGGCAAGCGATCACCGAGGACGATCTGTAAGTCACAAAATAATGGTGTAATAATTCCGGTAGTCTGGCGCTGTATTCACCTGGGCCTTGTTTTTGATCGCGATGACCTGACGAAAAAGACTGAGTAGCTGCTAGGCATCAAACGATCGGTATTCCACAATACAGGACAGTCCAGGAAGCCAAATAAAGAATGTGGCCTTTGCCAGCTACCAGAAGCATTGAAGGTGAGTGCTTCACGATAACACGCGGTACACTCAAGTCGACAACTGACTAGGATGACAAGTTATGGAATACGGGCTGATATTTTCGCGGCCTTGAATGCATCAGGTTTAGCACGCTAATAAAATCTTGCAAACTACCGTTCACTGAACGAAAACGTACCTCAAGAGTCTGGTCACTGAGTGAGGAAAATGTCAACAATTTTTTCGTAATGTGTGCAGAAGCCACCGAGGTAAAAGATTTGTTTTTCGGAGGGTCTCAGTGGACCGCTCTTAGTGATGCCATCAGGCTGTAGGAGCACCGTTCTAAATCTTGGGCTTTTGTACCTTTGAATATACCAGTAGGAAACTCCACTGTTTAAGATCCAAATATTCGTGCGCTCGCACCGCACAACAGCCGCATGGATGGACTGACCGCCAACTAAGCCGACTGGGAAATTTCACTGTGAGGATACTAGACTTCAGATAACCGAAGAAAACGGAAGCTATAAGTCCAGCGTTGGAAATCAGTAACACCATCAAGCAGCGACGCGCATCATGCAGATTACCATTATAACATCGGTAGTGAATGCGCATCAGGTTGAGCCACTGAAAGTAAAGACTCATGAAAAGTTGGCTACTGTTTGTGCTCAGCCCGCTGTTTACCTAGATTCCCATCATAACATGGCAACTGGACCAATGTTCTCCCAGGTCTGCATGTCCCGACCTCGTTGACTAACCGGTCACACGTCCCATATCACCACACTTCGGTTGTCGTTTGTTCCGAACCACGAGCGGTAGACTTTCCAGCCCCACTGTATGAAGTGCAGTTGCTCACGTTCGCACTTCCCATTTAGCAATACTGCGTTGAACGAAGCACCAGGTGTTCTGTTGTGTCCGAAACACTACAGACGCGCGTCACTCAACGTACGCACGAGGATATCACACAGCTAATTCTACTTTTCAGGTTGTTACAAGATTAGGACAACTTCATTGTTGAACAGCTTTGTGATTGAAAAAATATCCTGTCATTTTCCTCGTTCACCTGCTAGCTTCCAGTTAATCGTTCGTTAAAAAATAAGTAATAGTGGACCCTACACAATTTTCTCCGCCTTCCCTCTTCATCTGGCTTTATTCTAATTTCGCTGGACTACTCAGTGCTGTTGACTTGTTGACCTTTGGCAATACACTTCATAAGCTTGTGCTTCTTCACCTTGATGAGGACACCTGACAATGAAGTTTCCATGTATTACACCTGTGCCCTCCCATATGAACAACTCCAACGATTTTTTTCCCAAGGGTGAATGCGTTTCTTCTGCTATTCATTACTTTAAACACGTCAAGGCGAAATTACCTGTGGTGTACTTTTGAACAGACGTGGAATGATTAAGGCTAGGGCGACTGTCAGGTCAGCATCTGGTGGTAAAATCAATACTTATAAAAGTATATGACGCGGGTGAGGGTACTCAAGAATATGCGTAATAGTACTCTTGTCAGCTTCGGTTCGCAGCATATTTCGCCATGTAAATGTGACACTATTTACCTGGTTTACTCTACGTCAAGGCGGTTTTCCTGGAGAGTGATGAGTTGGCTCCGAGAATGCATCAAATAGCTACAACGCATGAGGTGCGGTCGGCAGCAATGTCGAGGACAGCGGATTATTTCGAAGTATCACTACTATAGTGGACTAACACACAAGATTGATTAGCAGTCTTCTTTGGAACTAGTGGAGACCAGTCGCTTTTGATCAAAATGGGGCGAGTTATTGGTTTCTACAGAACAAAACAATGAGGTGATCCAATCAACTCTGCCGTGTTTCCCGCATCTCTCTGCATCCAGGTTATCGTAGCAACACGGATCCCAGAATGCGGAGTAAACAATGGCAAATGAAACCACGACCAATCAGAATGGTGTTTGTGCTCCTAAATCACCAACATTCTCAGATGTGGTTTGGTGAGTGCTCTTCTCCAGACTTTGTTATACAAGGCTATGGCCACTGCAAAAGTGTTGTCATGCGGTTCGAAACGAACTCTTCTGACTGCCGTCAATACCGTTTTATCAGACGAGAAATGTGCAGCTATGTTGCGAATGATCCGGGCCTTGGAGTTTACGGGCTACGGAAGAGTTGATCTTACGAAGGCGATCAGTGGCAAATAAAAAAAACCAACAACATTCATTTACTGTAAGTGTTGATACAGTGAGTGTAAGACGAAAACTTCCTCAGTAGTAAGGTATACAGTTAACGATATTGCCTATGTGGCTTATGCGCTACCAGTTCATATTGGGCACCAAAGCCTTCCGGTGTGAAACATCCAATTATCCTATTTTTGCCGTTTTGAGTAGCACAGAAAGTGACTCTACAGTGGCACTTGAAGTGATGAATTACATCCACTTTTCCGCCGATGTCACCAGACAAATCAACATCCCAACTCGCACTAATTGAAGGTGTTTGAAAGGTATATCAAAACTTCCTCGTCCAAATGCACGGTTGATGAATGAGGTATACCATCGATAGCATATTTCAGAAAAATCACCCATGGTGTGCACTAGTACTGTATCCCAGTCGAGGCAACAGACTGAATAGCTTCCAACGTAAACTGGGAAAAGGAACCAACGACAGAACCATAAACAATCATACATGAAAAAAACACTTACATTCGAGAATACCACATCAGAGAGAAAGCATAGGACAGAAACGCAAATACACACAGCACCACGGCAATCCTATTCGTTGGTTGCGTTCTTTTGTCCACGCCGGTCCGAACGCTTGAGGGGTGAAAACGATAAGGTGCAAACAAATTAGTCAACGGCAATGAAAAGCGATTTCCTGATTCTAGTCCTCCGTTGTTCCCTATAGTTGTTCGCTTTAAATGATTCACCTGATACGGACAGTGAACATGACAAACAAATTGTTAGGTCTTCATCTGTGGCTTGTCTAGTTGTCGGCAATGCAGACGAATTAATTCATGGCGGGATCGTCAACCTGGCAGGGCGCTGCCTCAGTTACTGGCGTGAACATCGTTTCTATTCGGCGGGTGAATGTGTCCACATAGATGCGGTCAAACTGACCTGCGAAATCTTCGAAGAAATAGTCCGCATTAAGCAGACTCGATGAATAAGACTTCTCAGGTACAACAAACAGTTCTCCAGACAGATATTTACGACATGGGATAAGTTATGGTCTGTCAAAAGTCAGCGATATGCTGACTACCAACTGGTGGCAAAAGTATAAAGAGAAGCCTCTTTCTGACGACGCACAGAGGAAAACAGTCTAGCTCCAGGCCGCTACATACCCTATAAAGATTCTTAGAGTACCAAATTGGGAGCGACTGCTGGGTATGACGCGCGCACTGAAATGTTTGGGGTCCACTAGGCGAGCCAGTACACCAAACCTTTTCTTATGCGAACACAATGCAAAACCTACGGAGTCTACACGAACAAGTTCTAGGAGGGAAAATTCATAGAACCAATGCTAGCGGCTGAAGCCAAAAGTCTTTCAAAATGTCACCTTAAAAAGGCAAGCTGTCCGTGCAACGTACTCAAATTGGCCAAATTTGTACAACAGTACTGTTCTTCCTTGATTGGTTTAATGTTGCTACGTACATGAGACCGACACCATCAGTTCAGTAAGATAGATGTGTTAATGTGCTGAATGCGGTCTGATTATTCAGACTGTGAAGCGAAGATGGACCAGTCAGTAAATGCATAGGGGGCAAGATGGCTCGATGGTTACAGCGCAAATTTACTGATCGGAAGGTCCGTGGCTTGAACCCGAACTCCGCCTCTTGACATCTGTCAGGGTTGGACAGCCTGACAGCATCCTAGCTTTCGTGCTTACTTCCAGTGGCTTGGCGGCTGGACACCGAAAGGATGTTATGGCTGAACGATTAGTATTGTCGTTATCATTATTACTACTGCTACTATTATTATGCATTGCAGCAACCGACTGAAACCGCTTTCCCTGGAGAGGATGTCACGACAGAGGATGTTGTACTCTACCACCGATCTGTGATTTAAAATCTGGGGACAGAATATGAAATCACACTAACTTTTGAGAGATACAGTGCGCTGGCGATGGACAGCTGTCCAAGTTGTCTTCTTCGGAAAGAAGCGGTTCCACAGCAATAGTCAAAAATGACAGCTCTGGAGAGATTGCCACCGTATAGAACACGCTGTAGTGATTTTACTGGGAGTTCCTTCGGACAAACGGTTTGGAAAATGGAGGAATTTCCAACTACGAGAACGTGTTCTTGAAAAGACGCACCTGTGCGAAAAGGACACGCTTCGTCATACAAAGCTATCCGGTCTTCGAAGAAAGGTACCCTCAGAAAACTACTTTAAATGACAGCTGCATCCGCGCTCTCCAATAGCGTGGGCTGAGATTGAATCCTGGTGGATGGTGCTGGCACTTCAAAGTTACAAGCTGAAAGAATACAAAGTGGAGTGCGACATGATATACAATGGTATATCAAACATACAATATTCCTTACCGACCGAAAGGAAACTGGTGGGCGCTGTAATAGTCCTCACGATAGACGTCATGCGCGCGCCGAAAAATTGGTTCATCGTGCACAACGGGCTCACCGGCAGCCAACGATCGATCGTAAGTACGACGAAATTCTTCTCGGGACAAGACAGAGTATGCTTCGTTGACCGCCTTGAAAACCTCTACATTCCCTTGTTTGTCAGGATGATGCTAGACAATGAAGTAAAAAAAAGTAGGCCAGAACACAATACCTTCTTGGATAGTTCCAGAAAAGCGGAACGTATCTCACTAGCAGTTGCACTCTGTCGGACGCCCAGGGTTTCGTAATGCGTTCGCTGTTTACTTGCGAGTCGCCTAATGATTGAAAGAGGTGAAGCGGCAACGCGGTGCAGAACCACCATGGCAACATGGGAGTCGGTGAAACGAAAATGCCTGCAAACAGCCGATGGTGAAAGTAGGGAATTGCATTCAATGAGCTAGGAAAAACAGTTTAGACGCCGCGCGAACCAAGAGGGCTGATACAAGCCAACAATTAAACGGATGAGCACTTCCTTGTATTAATGAAGAGCCTTGTGTAAGGTGTTTGGTTCCAGATTTGTCTGTTACATTGAACTATGCGTACGGGAACTTGCACAGGGTTACCAATGCCAGACACATACATGTGAATATACCGGAATGCATCATTGGAACTATTAGACAGGGGAAGTATAACTGCTTTTAGATGGCTGATTGTGTACCGTGTACGCGTACAGTGGTTACAGATGCAGTTTCATCCACCGACGATAAGGGGAAGTAAGGGTTGGATAGCAGCAGCTGGTATCCGGGATTGGCACCGGGGAGATCGGGAAGGGAAGCTATGCAGTGAAGACAGAAAACTGGATGCACGCACGCCAGTGAATGCGCGCCTAGGCCATGTTTGTCAATGTCTCTAACAACTGTCGCGTCACAGAGTCCTCTTCCGGAGAGACTGTGATGACCTGCATTGCTGGGTTTGCTGATAATGGCCTTCACACTCCGACTCATCGCTTGACCGCTTCTAGGCCGCCTACGACTTCTGCGTGGTTGTGCGAAAGTGGATCTATGTGGTTACTGATCCAGTAAAGTACGAAGCACGTGACCAAGTCAGCACAACCCGTAGTGTGTGGTCAACTCACCAAAAGCCTAACTACAATGCCGCTCGAAGGAAGCACGAAAGCTGAGATACTGCCAGGTTGCCCAAGTCTAGACAGAGAAGTCGAGAGGCAGAGGTCGGGTTCAAACCACGGACATTCCGGCCAGTAAATTCGCCCTCTAAACAATGAGCTATCTCGACCCCCAACGGAGACATAAAGTACGAAATATCCGTATTGAAATGTTAGAAGGCACAAGAGCCGGACGGTCTCTATCCAGCCCTCTTCAAAGAAGGTGGAAAAAATCCCTGGTGCCCCACCTGACAAAGCTTGTTAGTACCATATGGGACGAAGAGGTGCCTGCAGAATGGGACATGTCGACGATTATTCCTGCTTTCAAAAAGGGTACACGGACGCTGCATGAAAACTACTGTGGCATCAGCCTATTCGCTGTGGCATCAAAGATGCTGTCTTGCCTTATCCTTCGAAGGTTAACTGAACACGGTGAGAGGCAGATCCGCGAAAACCAAGCTGGGTTCCGTCCTGCAAAAGGTTGCATCGATCATACCTCCACCACCCGACAAATTCTGGAACAGCAACACTGCTTCCAGCAACCAACAGTGCTTTTTTCTTGATCTGAAAGCTGTCTTTGACTCTGTGGACCGTTAGAAACTATGGCAGTGTCTGCGAAGCAAAGGTGTCCCCCATTGAATTCTCGACCCTCCTTAAGGCGCTGTACACCAACTTCCGCGGCCGTGTGAAGGTATACGGGAAGCTCCCTTCTGAGTTCACTACATCAAGTGGTGTCAGACAGGGCGATCCTCTTTCACCCTTCCTCGTCAACTTCGTCACTGATACGATCATGGATGGTTTACTATCAGTCTCTAATGCCTGTGGAGTCAAAGTGCTCCCAGGGTGTCCACTCACAGATATCGAGTATGCAGACGACATAGCTCTTCTTGGATCTGACCCCGTAGTAACGCAAACTACATTAAATAATTAAATTATTTGGCCTCACGGTCTAGCACGTGCTTCACACCTGCAAATTGTAAAGTTCTACTGCATGACTGAGTGGGCTAGGAACTTAGTCTCATGCTTGCGGCCTCTAAACAATGAGCTATCTCGACCCCCAACGGAGACATAAAGTACGAAATATCCGTATTGAAATGTTAGAAGGCACAAGAGCCGGACGGTCTCTATCCAGCCCTCTTCAAAGAAGGTGGAAAAAATCCCTGGTGCCCCACCTGACAAAGCTTGTTAGTACCATATGGGACGAAGAGGTGCCTGCAGAATGGGACATGTCGACGATTATTCCTGCTTTCAAAAAGGGTACACGGACGCTGCATGAAAACTACTGTGGCATCAGCCTATTCGCTGTGGCATCAAAGATGCTGTCTTGCCTTATCCTTCGAAGGTTAACTGAACACGGTGAGAGGCAGATCCGCGAAAACCAAGCTGGGTTCCGTCCTGCAAAAGGTTGCATCGATCATACCTCCACCACCCGACAAATTCTGGAACAGCAACACTGCTTCCAGCAACCAACAGTGCTTTTTTCTTGATCTGAAAGCTGTCTTTGACTCTGTGGACCGTTAGAAACTATGGCAGTGTCTGCGAAGCAAAGGTGTCCCCCATTGAATTCTCGACCCTCCTTAAGGCGCTGTACACCAACTTCCGCGGCCGTGTGAAGGTATACGGGAAGCTCCCTTCTGAGTTCACTACATCAAGTGGTGTCAGACAGGGCGATCCTCTTTCACCCTTCCTCGTCAACTTCGTCACTGATACGATCATGGATGGTTTACTATCAGTCTCTAATGCCTGTGGAGTCAAAGTGCTCCCAGGGTGTCCACTCACAGATATCGAGTATGCAGACGACATAGCTCTTCTTGGATCTGACCCCGTAGTAACGCAAACTACATTAAATAATTAAATTATTTGGCCTCACGGTCTAGCACGTGCTTCACACCTGCAAATTGTAAAGTTCTACTGCATGACTGAGTGGGCTAGGAACTTAGTCTCATGCTTGCGGATGAGTCAACTTGAGATAGTAGACAAATTTGTTTACCTGGGTAGCTGTACCACTCCTACCGTCTAGGCTTGGGCGACCTGGCAGTAAGGCACCGAAAGGGTGCTACAGCTGAACGATTTTTGTTGTATCACTCCTGGTGGTCTCGTGAAAGATGATGTTAACAAACGGATCGGGAAGGCCAGAGCAGCTTTTGTGAACCTGCGTCACTTGTGGCGTAAGCATAAGATCAGCTTACTCGCCCACGGTTGAGTTCACGATGTCGCGGTGCGTTCCATATCAATACACTGGCCGCTGCGCGCCGAGGGCGTCAAAAGACTTCCAGTGTTTGACCATCGATGTAATCGGAGCATTGCCCGAGTCTGGTGGGAACACCGGATCAGCAATGCTGAAGTACGTCGAATGGTGTATGGAAGAAGAATAGCTGAACTGATCACGCTGCATAGGTTGCGCCGACTTGGCCGCGTGCTCCGTATGCCAGTCATCCGACTTCCTCGAAGGGGTTTCGCACAACCACGTGAAGGGTGCAAACATGCCAGGGGAGATCAAACAATGACTTAGCATCGATGTATAACCCGCAAACTCACCTGCGCTGGTCACTGCAGTCTTCCTGGATGGGGACTCCGAGACGGGCCACATCAATGGCTGTAGACATTTTCTGCCATGACCTAGCCGCACCCTCAATGGCGCTCGTGCATCCAAGCTATTGCTTTCAATGCATGGCTCCTTTCCCAACCCCCACTTAACAGTTCACTGATAGTCCTGTATTTACGCATTAATTTATCCGCTCCCGCCTCCAATGCACAGGTACCCACCTCACCTTTCCAAAACATCAGTGAACGAAACTGTGGTAGCTACCACTACTGACAACAAGCACGCGTTTCTTACAACCGATAATGATGATAATGACCTGTTTTGATGCAAGTAATGCTAAAGAAAAGCGAAGTGATAGCCGGGCTCACACGGTCGTTCAGCTACAACACCCTTTCGGTGCCTATCTGCCTTGCCACCCGAAGGTTGCATGAGGGCTGGGATACTGCCAGGTTGCCCAATCCTAGACAGGGGAAGTCGAGAGTCAGAGGTCGGGTTCGAACCACGGACCTTCCTGTCAGTAAATTCGAGCTCTAACCACTTGGTCCATCTCGCCCCCAGCTCACACGATGGCATGAGCGGAGCAAAGTTGTCTACCCCAGAAAGAATGACAGTTTTTAATTGAAGCTATCCAGCGGTAGCTTGCAGCCACGGGGTTCAGCTGAGTCCACAACTGTCTTGCGGTTGGTGACCTCCAATTAACTGGATGTGAGCGTTTGTGCTTGAAGTTCGTACTGACCAGGAACAGATGATTATCGGCACACAACTGAAGCAGTCGTTGTCCACTATCCGTAGGCTGAGCATCGACTTTACATCTACCACCTAAGTGTGCTCATTCGGGGCTTATTGGTCATACTTTGGCATTCGTATAACCCGTCCTCACTGACCCGACGATCGACAGTGTTAGGCAGCCTTCAGGTCAACAGTGTTCGAGGACCTGGTGGAAAATGAATACGTGATCGATGTATCCTCGTGCAGAGTACAACCCAGTTTGTCTTTCACCAACCTGCCTCCCTGTGTTCAGCCAGACTTCGGAGAACGAGACCAGAGACACCTTCGATTGCACAGCTACTGGGATAACGTCAGAGGACATTGTGTTCGTTTACCTTTTTGAAGGTGAGGGCGAGATGGCCGAAGTGGTTAGAGCGCGGATTACTAACCTGAAGGTCCGCGGTTCGAATCCGACCTCCGCCACTCGACTTCCCCTGTCTAGGCTTGGGCAACCTGGCAGTATCCCAGCCCTCGTGCTTCCTTCGGGTGGCATGGCAGCTAGGCACCGGAAGGGTGCTACAGCTGAACGCTTTATCTTTTTTTGAAGGTGAGGATGATCGTTGGTGTAACACAGTCTGTGGTCACTTTTACTCCAGTCCATATAGTACCGGTAAGTTTTTTCAGGTGGGTGATCAGAAATTCTTTGCCACCTTCGAAGACAGCTGGATAAAAACCATCTGGTCTTGGAGCCTTGTCGTCCTTCAGAAGGGATATTTTGTCCCATTACTTTTGAAGAAAAATTAAAGTGTTCATTCACCTGCATACAGTGTCTCTATGTGTTTTTGTCGCAGGACGAAAGCCTAACTGCTCTGCAGTGTTCGGCCTATATTTCCAGTTGGTTTTGTGCACGAATTACAGAGCCGTATTTCCCATTGACAACTGCATTCCTTTCACCAGTACATCGTTACCATGCCAGTATGCCATCTAATCAATCATCAGCAATCGGTTTAAGTCGTATACAGCATGGTTGATTCGGGTGACGAAAACCTTCAGCTCCTGAGCTTCCACTGTCCACAAGAACTCTCCGTCTTTGCTTAGACTAGTCACTGTGTGACGTTTGAGGGATTTGTGTCCCTCATACTCCTGCTAGTGGGTTTCCTAGCGTTATTGAGAAATAGCGACCTCAATGATATCTAGTGGTAGTTTGATCGCATCGGGGAAGTCGGACACAGTGCTAAACATTGCCAACATAACTCCTTTTACACTTTAACATGCTTCATCCACGTAATCGTCAGCAAGATTTTGTCGGTTCATTGCAGAAATTAATTTAACCATCCCATTCGATTCTACAAGGCTGGCATAATTCTGGCTAATTTGTGACAGCTGTATTGTAAGGTAAAACGAAAACTACCAAGATGCGCTTGCACTAGGGCCTGATCAGAGCACCTAAATGGAGCCACAGTCTTACATCGTGGCTAACAACAAGGCGACCCATTTGGCCCAAAAGTTGATTTGAACTTGAAGACCGTTCGTTTACATGGGGTAATTCCATTGAAGAATGTGTCCAGCACCAGAAGCTGCGTTGGTTGGGACATGTGTTGCGTATGCTTAACCATCATTTGCCGAAGAGAGTGTTGTTTTCCATGCTCAATTCGGAGTGGCGTAAACAGAGAGGTGGCCAATCCTTGACTTGGCAGAGGAGTATGAAGGAGATCACGAAATACTTGGGTGCTGTCGGTGCTACTCGCCTTTCAGGATGGGGACCGCGTGATCCTCACTGCGCCTGGTTGGAGACGCTGCAATATATGGCTGCCAACCGATGTCAGTGGCGTTCTTGTTATCAGTTTCTATCCAGATTGCCTGAGTGAATGTCTGGAGATGTAGGAACCTCGGAATGATTGCGGCAAGCTAGAACTAAGTCCCTTCTCCGTCCACCTTTACTCTTATGTTTACAATAAGGATTTCAAATAAGTCATGGTTGTACGCCAGTGAAGCATCGGTTGAACACTGATGTCATGCTGTCGATGATGAGGATGACGACGACATGGGGCGGGCGTTATCGTTGAAAATTCGTGCCGGTCAGAAACAGGTGGTCAGCGCGAAATTGCAGTAGTCTACCTCCATCGTCTGTGTGTAGGTGTCGACTCCGAATCAATCCCAAAGCTGTGATTGAGACAGCTCACATACCGACCTGAGTATTCACGATACCCGCAGGATGACAATGTCGGTGGTTGAACCAAGAGAGCACATCAACGCGCACAAGCCAGCGCTCGATTTGTGCACAAACCGCGCCATTCTGATTGGCTGAAATCTCTATGCCGGGAACACTACATAAATGCAACATAGGTTTAAGATTGACCCTGTTGAACGAATCAGAGATTTACAATAGGGCTATATCTACAATAGGGCTATATCTGATGAAATTTACATCGCAAATTCAATAAAGCTAGGCATCTGGCTTTCCATGGGTTCACGGATTGATACACAGGATCGAGGCTTTTGCCCAAGTTTCCCGGGTCGATTTTGTTCTTGTCGGTCAGTGGCTCTCGTGCACCGGAAAGGCACAAGTGTAAAAAGGGTGTAGCACTGCTCTTTATGTTCTCAGTGAGGGGCAGTATGCTTGCCAGCGCGAGGATTCGCATAAATAAATGTCTAATAGTGCTTTAAACTGGGTTCTAGAAGGAGGGTGCACAACCGTCGGAGGAAGGTCATTCCACGCAGCTACTACCCGAAATGAAAAAAGAATTTTGTCTAATGAATCTGCGTGCCCTGAGGTTGAAAATTTTCTTACTATGTCCCCGCCGGGTGTTTCCTGGGTCAACAGTAAAAAACCTGTTTGCCAAGCTTTGTTCAACCAGGGCGTAAGAATTAGGTCCCCTCGGAGGCGACGGTACTCCAGGGGAAAGAGATCAAGCATCGCGAGACGCGTTTCGTAGTTCACGGACTTGAGGCCTCAACCATTCTAGTGGCGGCCCGCTGGACTCGCTCAATGAGGGTAACGTCCTTCGTACGTCCTGAGTAGACAACTTGGTTGGCGTACTCCAGGAGCGGTCTGACGTAGGCCCCATAGAGTATTTGGAAGTCCATGCGAGTAATACGGGAGAAGGTACGTCGGATCATCCGTAAAACGGCGAATGCCTTTTGGGCCGATTTCTCATGGTGTAGTGAGAAGGACAAGTTTGAGGAGACCCAGATGCCTAAATCATTTTTGGCATCTATCCTCATGATGTTTTCTGGTCCCTTTTCACCATGCATAACAAAGGCATTCGCTGAACCCCCTCCAAACGACACATGGACACACTTTTCATCATTCAGAGGAAGGTACCAGTCCAACGACCACTGCTTGGCAACGTCTACATCCATTTGGAGGGCACTGGCATTGGAACTCCAGGATTTCAAGTCGTCCGCAAAAAGTAAACATGGACTCGCAAGAACGTCTGGGAGGTCGTTGACGTAGATCAGAAACAGGAATGGCTGCGTCAGACCGCTCTCGGAAAACGCCAACCAAATTCTCTACTCAGGACTCACGAAAGACTTCACCCTCATTTAGCGTGTCCAACGAGCCGCCACGAGAATGGTTGCTGGCCTCAAATCCGTGGACTACAAAACGCGTCTCGCGATGCTTGATCTCTTTCCTCTCTAGTGCCGTCGCCTCCGAGGGGACGTCCTGTTTGAACAAATCTTGGCAAACAGGTTTTTTACCGTTGACCCAGCAAACACACGGCGGGGGAACATTTTCAAGCTCAGAACACAAATTCATTAGACAAATTTTTTTCTCATTTCGAGTAGTAGCTGCGTGGAATGACCTTCCTCCGACGGTTGTGCACCCTCCTTCTAGAACCCAGTTTAAAGCACTATTAGACATTTATTTATGCGAATCCTCGCGCTGGCAAGCATACTGCCCTGCACTGAGAACAGCCTTTTTTCACTTGTGCCTTTCAGGTGAACGACAGCCACTGTTCGACAAGAACATAAGCGACCCGGGAAACTTGGGTAATAGCCTCGATCCTGTGTGTCCATCCGTGAAATGTAGTATGCAGTTTTGTGTAGTTTAACTAAGCTTGCTTTTGACACGCGTAGTCGTCCATGTTGTCCCTAAATAAACCGATATTACAAAAGGACGATTGTATTTGTACCTAATGTCGGTAACAAAGAGGTGAGTAATTAGAATAGCCCACAAGCAGCACTTTTCACCCAGTATCAATCACTGAGTATGAAAACGATGAAAACGATGAAAACGATTGTGTGCGTCTCCCTAAATGCATGAATCGAAGGTCGTGTATCATACAAATTGTGTTCATTAGGTGCGAGAACTGGTGTGTACATGGATAGCCCTAACCTGGTTTGTTATAACGGAACTATCGGTGCATCACTCGTAGCCAACGGATCGACGACAGTGTTTTGTGTTATGCCGGAGCTAGTCGCCGATTTTCTATTTCTGGTGGTTCACCCTCTAACGTAAAGTGCTGTGTGGACATTAATAAAAATTTACCAATCATCTGAAAGTGCAGAAGAATGTGAGCAATTGTTGAGGTTTTTGGTAAACAACGCCTTCTGCGCTCCTTTATTTATATCACGATTTTTGATGTGAAAACATGATAGCTCAGCTGTGGCTGGAAGGCATCACATCCAGTTGTCGTTGGCGCTTCTATATGCTTCTTACGTTACGATCGACGAAATAGCAAGTCTACAGTGCACCTCTGTCATAGAATCTTCGGCTTGAATAACTAGTTTTGATGAGTGTGTAACAAGTGACGCCTTGAAATGAAACCCTCATGAAGCGTAATCAGTACCTAAACCACATGTAGGCTACCGGACACCTGCACAAATTGTAAGACATATGCTGCTGGAGACTATCATGTGTTTTTCTAGACGCACTAATTTTCGGGGCCACTCTGAGGCTGTAGACGAAACAGGAAAATTATGCCCTCATTTTCTCACCCACGCAAGCTCGTCTTCAACGCAAGGCCCGGGTGCCTTGGTTGCCTTGACGCTTCAGTTGTCAGTAAATATCAAGCCATTTTTGGGAAACAATTTTATTATGACTGATTGCAAGCACATTAAAGAATTATCAAAAATGCGTTCCACTGTCATGCCTGGAAAGTAAATGGGAAAATAATTAGTAAAAGGCAACCTAGTGGAAATGCCCTGAGCCCCATTCACCCAGCCTGTGTGAAAGATGCACACTGGTTGCCATCGCCGCATCAAGTTGAGGGGGTGGAGTTTCTGTGGAAGAAACCCACCTGCCACCCACACATTCATAGAAACATGGCATTTAAAAAATATGAGCCTAATTATTAAACAAAACTTAGCTTAATCACACTTAGTGTATTTACCTAGGGAACTCACTCCGATATCCAGTTATGCCGATCGCAGAAGGGGCAAAGGAATGTCGACCTGTCAAGCAAACCGCCAGTGCAACTGCAATGCAACGACACATGACGACAGTCACATTGCACCCAAGCTATCATCGACCTCCCATGGGCGTTCTCAGATGAATTGCAGACATTGTAAACACCAGCGTCAATATGTGACGCCATTGGCTCCTTCTTACGGTGCATCGCCACGTTACTGTACATCGCGGCGGTTCGCAGTTTGTAGACACGTAACTTTACAGACTGGAGGCAAAATTTACCATCCCGCATATCGAAGGTCCCGTCGAGCCCAGTCCTCTTGTCCTCATAAAGCGGTGGAGGGCTCGTTCGAGCGTCCCATATGGTGACATGGCAACAACCCTTTGCTCGTAAAAGAGCACGAGCATTTCATGGGTTATCCCAACTGTAGCTGGTAGTCGTCGCGAAAAATAAGGCACGGCTACGTGGTGTGGGCCAGCTCCACACTTTTGCTATGGTTGTGATGAAACATATCCTGGTCGTATGGCGTTAGCCGGCCCAATCATTCAAAATGAGATGGCAATGTCGCACCTCCCGGCCGGCCACGCACAAGTGGAACGCTTACTAGCCTGCTTTATTTGCCTTCTATTTGCTTATTCCCGTTGGTAAAAGCCTGAACAAAAGTGAGCAACGAGGAAGACTCAGAATGTTTCCACCTAAAATACCTGTTGGCGGATTGGTGGTTAGCGGTTTCATTACCAAGGGTTACAGCATACATGCTAGCATGCTGTACCCATACTTCTCAAATAGACCACACAGACGAACGGAAGTAAACGAGGGAATATTCAAACTACCATCATCGCAAGCCGACACAGACATGGGTCCCAAAAGGCCCTGGCAGCTGGGGATCACAAACAGGATAATTCAAGCAGCCCAGCTTGTGGAAGACAGCTTGCCAACAAGTGCTCCCGTTTCCAGCCCCATGTGACAGCCAATCCCCATATTTATTCCCCTTGACCAGATGAACTGAAACCCCCTTGTTTTACTGAACTCTTTTTATAACTCTTACCTACTTTGGTCGGACTTTGTGATTTTGCGGTTGCTCGCCGTCGATATCTGTTGAGGATATCGATTTTGAGGCGAAGTGATCTACATTTATCCTCAGTCTGGTGATTGTACCGCCTTATTTTGTAACCTGACGGTATCTGCAGGGGAGAATCCGTTGAGATTTGTTGAGTATGTATATTATTATATTTGCAATAGTACCGTGATTCCAGAATTCGTATTTCTTGGTCGTTTTCCTGGATTGGCACGCGTGACTCAAACTCAGAAAGCAGATAACCGTAACACAGTTTACCCGGCTGGTACCGGTGCAGAAATTCCTGCATCACATCTGCACCCGAGTGCGGAAGTTTCCGCACAGTGTCAGCAGATTTCTGTATTAGGGTGCATACCCAGTGCGGAATTGGAACTGGTTTCCGCACCTAGTCCGCGCCGGGTGCGGAGAATCCGTACTCAACATCAGAATTTCTGTACCCAATCCGCACTCAGCTAAAGTCGTCCGGCGTGTAAAGTTAGCCCATTATAGACATTTATTTCCTCACCTAGCACAATTCGGTAGCTTTCTAAATACTACCCTCCTGTGCAGTAATAACCTATCTGCCCCCACACCATTCCCCAGCATATTACCTTACCTGAATTAAGTGTTTTCAAGTACAAAAGTTTCTGTGAATAAATTAAATAATTACGAGAAAATCATTCACCATTCTCGGTGGCTTTCTGCGGGCGCTTCCAAACTTTCTGCCGTTCGTTTTCCGGCCAACGCTGAACGATTTCCTTGATTTGCCGTGGATTTGTGTTTGAATATTCTCAGTTGTTGTGGTTTAATGAAAAAAGATAGTTATTGAATTTCATCCAGCCACTTGTTCAATCAGCTAAATGTAAAATAACCACTAAATACTTACAAATAATTCCTTGGGCCAGTCTGGGCGATCCGAAGGCTCCTTCTTCACTTATACCGTGCCAGTTGAGTGTCACGGCGAGTCTTGGTGCCGACAGCCGTGTCAGTATGTTCGTCAGATACGTTATTCGTCACCAGCCTCCTGCAGGAGCCATTTTTCACATTTGTGAAACCAGTAATCCTGACTACCACTAATACTTACCAGCCGGGCATAGCACGGACCGTCTCTGAGGTGTTGTTCACACCCCCGGATCTTATCCATAGATGACGGGGGTAGGGGAGGCTGGGTGACCACCTGACAACTGCTCCTGGGTACTAAAGCGTCCAGTTTCATATGCAGTCCCTGGAGCAACGAGTAGATCCTCTCCAAATTCTCTATAAAATAGTTAAGTTAAAACATGGTAATTTACTCACTGAGAATGGGGTCGGCCAAGTCTGGGGAAATTACAGTGGCTTTTGAATTTGGTGAGTTCGTCCAAGAAATTAAAATATGTAGTGTGTTAAGAGAACCTGAGGAGCGGGGTCCAACTATGTGGTTCTGGATCGCCCACGACAGGAAGCGTTTTATATGAGGAACTCCTGGTGGAATTAAGATGATGGTGATGAAATAAAACGTAAATTCGACATATCATGGGGGCATCACCCGGGACGGGTGGCGCGTCAGAATAGGGAATGACACTGGTTTGCGAGGCGATTGGATTGTACATCATGAGGTAGGGAAGTGCCAGACTGAGAAATTAATAGGAGTTGGAACGACGTGCGGCCTTTTTGAAGCCGGTGGGTTTATGACTGGGTTTGCAAAGTGGTGTAACTACCCGAATCATGATCCAGTTCGTTTGTAAAGCCAGACGGAAGGTGTTTCTTTTTCACTGCAACCATTGTAATACAATTGCTAAACATACTGTTTGTGCTTAGATTCCCGTACGAGCCCTTCAGCGTGCCGCTCTGCGGTGGAAGTATGCCAGGGGTTACATGCTGAGCACCCAATGCATCCGCAAAATTTCTAAAAAAACACTTGAAATGAACATTAACTTACTGCAGCGCCGTAACAGTTCGTAAGTGCACGTCTTCACTGGACACTTGGGTAGGGTTCCCCTCAGCAAGTTAGCATATAAAATACTTGTTGTACATGAGAACCATAGGACTGAATTGGGCGGTACGAACCATGGTCCATGCACTATGCTAACATAGTTGTCCTGGAAAGTCAGAACGGCGTACCTGGCTGAAAAAACAGGTTCCAAATACGGGATTTCATAGAAGAATATCCACTGCATATGGAAGCCTTGGGGCAGTAACACAACGCCAACACGAATATGTGTATTTATTTTATGAAATGTTGGGTTATAAAAGTGGTAGCCGCACATATTCGCTGTGTACTACCGGCAGGAGCACAAACTAATCGGCAAGGGTATGCAAAACGGGGAAGTAAATACGGCTCTCTCTGTAGAAAAACTTGAACACCCACAAGATATTTTATTGAATGATGCAAACAACCCATTGTGTTTCAAGTCAGGGCACTGAAAAACTAAAATATCTGGTGATCTCAATAAGTGAGTGTAAAATGTGAGAGAAGTTTTGAATGTCTCACACTCAATGGTATATCCAGAATGATATACAATGACAGCGGGTTGACCGTCAAGCAAAATGCATTCATCGGGAAAGTTTTTCGAAAAATTACACCCCTATGCACAAACATGTGACATCCGCCCCTGGCTTATGGTCTCAATCGCAAAACCAAATCATCCAAAAATACCCCCCTTCGACTGCACCCAAATTCACGCGCTCGGCCAGTCGGCGGTACAGCTGAACAGCCGACGGTTCTGGCCCATATGTGAATGGTTTATGTGCGCCAGCTCCGTTTCATAGGGAAGGCAGGAAAAACGATCCAGGCGACCGTAGGACTTGACGAAACTAAACAAAGGGGAGGACTCGTGTAATTTGTAGACTAGATGGTTCGGCCCAAGAATAGCAATAAAATTTGAACCAGCAACCTTAGAACCGTCAATTAAAAATCAGTATGGTGTTGTGAAAAAAGTGAACAGCCTATAAAAGTGTTTACAGCAAAATACATGCGGCGTTTGTAAACATCAGGATGTAAGATACCTTTTAGAACAACAGGTTCTATGTGCAAAAGAAACTGTTGTAGCTCAGAAGCCTTCCACCGATTCAGGTCTCCTACACCCCGGCATTTTCGGGCAAAATCTGAACTCGGAATCACACTCCGCTGCTCGATAGTATCATTCAGTAGGTTCCAGAACTCCAACGAAAGCCTGGCCTTTTGTCCAATTTCCATCCCTAGAAGTGAGGTGAGGACTTTTCGCACTAAACCAAGACACACACCGCATGTGATCTGGGGAGAAACCGTTAATCGCTGGTAGATTCAACTCCCCACTAAACTGGGGCCTGTACGGCGCTTGTTTTGCTTTCGGGTCCGGAGATCAGAGTCACAAGGTACTGAGGCTGTTAACGAAGGAAAAGTCATTCGTGTGCCAACTTGCATACCGTTCTGTGTGCAATAATCACATCCGTGATATCCTGTATGTCTCTTCGCTTGCTTCAGAAATGCCCTAGCGGGACTGTCGCAAATAATGCATACAAGATGGCGGGTCGAATGTTTTAAACTCCGGATACACCGTTCGCTCAGACGTCCGCCAACTCACTAACGTTTGAGCATCATTCCGTTAGTTCTTACCACAGTGTATTCCAACGACGAAAGGCTGACCGAAGAAAGGAGAGGTTTTGTGGGAGGATGTTGGCCACAGTTGGGTGCGCGAGATACTGCAGGCCAAAATACCACCAACGTTCATTTGAATATCAGCATTTTTTGCCCTAGTACGAATCCCACGTAGCTGCCGCACCAAACCTGCCTCCAATACGAGGTGTATATACACCCCACCAGCCTTCTGTCGCACACAGCAACGATGAGGAGTTTTCATTTACGGTCCGTGAATCCTTTGGAAGAGACAAAAAAGTACATTAGTTCGCCCAACCAACCGCTTAACCGGGTGAAGGAAGGTTCTGTCTTCGCACCATCCGACGAACAGCCGCTAAAATCTTTCTACGCGGTTGTGAACGATTCAAAAAGGATGCTGATGAAAAGCAATATAAGTACAAACGGAACATACGGACTGATCCCTTCAATGACTTGCAGTGTGCTACCTTGTAGCAAAAAGATAAGTTGTCTGTGGAAACCGAAATGGTGAATGGCCCTCTAGTGCCAAAGTGTGGTAACAAGAATTGGGGAGACCACCGGAGGACAACGTGGTAACGCGCAGCCTAATTTATCCCCTGGGACAGGCTAATGAGGCATGTCTGGAATCTAGCCTGTGATTAACTGAGTCTTACTCTCAAAGATTCCACCATACATTGTAGACGGAATCATCAACCCAACGACGGAAACACGCTTGCTGCAACAGCCTTACTATCCTAACGTTGTTATCAAGGAGCCTCTACGCGCAATACGAACATTGGGTGCACTGACGATTACTTGAAAAGAAAAATATTGTTTAAAGTTTCGTGCCCATAAATACACAAGGAATAAAGCATGTCAAAGCACAACAAAATCCACACCCTCAGTCGCACGTGAAGATAAGCAGAACGCGGGGCTTCCTGCGAATAATGGCGCTGCACACCAAGACAAAACCCCTTTATCAGTCGAGAGTTCACACTCCGCAGGGTCCCGGAAATGCAGGGTGTTGTGCTTTTTTATTACTGATCGACAACTAAAGAATCTTTTCTTTCTCTGAAACGCTTCGATCTCCCGCGGCTTAAAAGCGGAACATTGGTGCAGAATTTCTGCACTGATTCCGCGCAGGTTCTGCAACCGTGCACGTTCGCTTTCATAATGGTGCCATTCTGTCTAAGAACCCCTCCATTTCGTAGTTACCGCGCTACTGGAAACCCTCATGTGAGCCGATACTTTATCACGCCGCGCAAACTTAGAAGACGGTCATACGCACTGCTTTCATTTACAAAGTGAATTTTAATAATCCAGCAGGTACCATCTCAACAAAAGGAAGAATTTGAGCTCGTGTAAAATCGAGAGGTTACCGAGTATGACGAACAGCGTCATTAGGCCATACCGAATATGCTGGAACTTGTCACAAATGCCACGTATCCTATCGGGCGAAAAAATGCTAGAATATTACCGTCTTTGGGATAAGACATAAAGCTGTTTGAAGATGGTTCTAAACATCATGCTCAGAACTGTCTTCGACCAAAAACATGGCTTGTCTGTTTTTAACGGTTTTATTGAGTGCCCCGTCATTGCTGTTATCCGTTCTGCCTTGCTGTCTGTTTTGAAAAGCAATCATGAAAGAGGACTTCCACAGATATCTGTTCGTCTTTATACATTTTGCATAATAGCGCAGGTTCTGATAATGCCCAGCCCAGTGGCCTTTCTTAAGAAAGCAAGTATCGCGGTGTCTTGGGGATGTTCTGACTGGCAAGAAAATAATACCTCTTCAGATCCAAAGCTTAATTAGGGTCATTTTATGAATAATTTAACTCTCAAATCTGGGTCGCAGGCCAGGTAGATTATAAATCTTTCTTCTTATTCCAAATTCGCACAAGCTACAAGCAAAGCTCCCATATTACACAAAGCGTTGTTCACTTTGACATGTGTGTAACTTTCATCCGGAATCTTTCAGCACAGAACTTAAATTCCATACTGGAAATGGCAGCCCTATTCTGTTAACATGTTATATTGGGATATCACCGTTACTATCCCAAATGCTTAGCACAATTCGATATTAGGCAGCCTATTTCCAGTGCTGTCCACCGCAGTGTATCGCTTTTAAAATATATAATGATGGTGACTCCTAGACTGAGCCCTCGGTCTGAGCCTTCCAGGTAAATGCCCCCATCAGAAGAACACCAAAGGTTCACACGTGTATTAAGGTACAAAACCATGCTTAAAACACGTACAGCGCTGGTGACAACCAGAGATGCTTTGCGCTCTGGGCCGGACTACGAGTATTTCAGGGCTATCACAAGATCTCATGAAAGCCGGTGAGCAGCTACAGTAATTACTTCTTCACTTGCTTTTCGTCCTGCTCGGGTTTCCACCGAGTTATGTTAAAAGCGTCTGGTGATTCATCAACCAAGTCAAAGGTAACACCTACTACCCCGAAGCCCAGTATATCGCACTCGAGAATGCTGTCAAGTAGGTATTTTTTCTTTGAATGTCTTGCATGCCCACAAGGTGTACCGGTTGGCAAACGAAACACAGGACGGCAGATGGTGGAGAGTGACAATGCACAGGGCCAAACGAACACCGCAAAGGAACTTGTGAAGGGGCAAACTAAACTGCAGCGGAAAACAGGGAGTGTTCACGCCGAACAACAGTTAAGCGGGTTGGATCGAACTCGTCCAAAGAGTGGTCAAGCCTGGTTGAACGTTGTGCCCTTTGTTTAGATTACAGGCCTGAGTGAGCGAAAGCTCGTTGTGTAAAAAGAAAACAGCCATGGGAGTATTCTTATGCCATGCCATAGGGCCACGGTCACCGAGACATGGACATCAAGAGCATTATCGAACACTGGATCGCACTACCGCAGCGGACGGATATGGGTTCGAATAGGTTAGTGCAGGTAGATTCAGGCTAATATGAAGCCAAATGTATTTGATTCATTTGGAGGACCATGTGAATGTCGACCAGGGACCATCCAGAATGAATAAACGACGGCCATACCGGACATCTGCAGCAGCTACTGTTGAACTTTGAAGCTTTGGAAGAGGTGAAATGAAAAGGGACTGAGATAAGATCACTAAGGTACGGTGAGTGCCCTAAGGTGTCAGAAGAGAAAACGGTGTCCAATAAAAATAAATGATCTAAATTGGGATGACACTAAGATAATCAGCCCACAAAACATCTGGGCCCTGTGAGAAAACGGGGTTCCTGTTGCAAATTAACGAATCTTCTTACAATTATAAATCGCAGGTGGAATAATAAAAATAACTGCCTAAAATCTACAAAAAAACACATATATCAGAAGGACGACGGGCGCCACCTAGATCTTTATTCTTTTCTGGCTCCACACCGACAATCAGTTCTTTGCTAAAAATGAAATACCGGTAATGGACAACAGATTGAAATCAAGCGTCTTGAATTTTCAAAACAACATTTAGTCGGTTTACTCCAGTAATACACCAAAGAAGGTCGTCCCACATATAAGGAGGATGATTTACGCTTGGAAGCAATGAGTGCACTAATACTCCAAAGGCTTGGAAGATGAATCCCATTAACACACGGTAAAAATTCAGCCTTGAAGGACGTGAATAAATGAGGCGCTGTAGAGACCTTATCACAAAGAGCAGTATCTTGTCGTCTTTCAGGTTTCGATGCAGAAATTATTTACGTATTTGTTGCGAAATCACACTGTTGCTCTAAACCACCAGATTATCTACCTACCATGCAGCAACAAGTTCTCCCAACTAAGTTGTGTCAGCCTGGAACGCCCTGCTGGAGTTTCTTCGAACACAGGACTTCGATTTACGTCCCGTATAAACGAACGAATTTCCCAACAGCCACTTGTACAGCGTTGCATTCCAAGCAGAAAAACCTCACTTGGCCAACAAAGTGTGCCGGAAAGATACCGGCCATATTATGCGGTATTTTATTCTTTTAACAGCCACTTGTGCAGCGTTGCATTCCAAGCAGAAGAACCTCACTTGGCCAACAAAGTGTGCCGAAAAGATTCCGGCCATATTATGCGGTATTTTATTCTTTTATTAAAGCAATTTTCTTTGTATTTTAGAACATTGCTCTATGTTAACGACCAATGGAAAAAGGCTCAACTCCATACAAGACTTCAGAAGTGATAAAGGAGAATTTCGAAAATACAAGGAATGGTCAGGCTTTCCCTTCACCTCGCTTGTTCAGCATTGCCTTTGGTTTCTTTGCAATACTGACTGCTTTGCCTGAACAGCACCGATCGATAACTGTCACAGACTCTGTGGTCTTAAGTGGACAATCAGAGGGAATGCCATAAATATTAGCCTGACTTTCACACCGCTCAGCGTATAACATTAAAATGATACTATCCTGCGGAATTCTCGAGAAGAAATGAAAATAGTGTTAAAAACTTTCTCGACTTTCCGTGCATTTACCCGCCATCCATGAACAATATACCTGCTTAAACGACCATCCGTATCGCACGTGGTGGAGACTAGCCCATGCCAGGCATGTCTGAAGCTGACTTTTTGTAGCTGCCTACGCCGAGCCATAAGAACGCATTAAAAGTTACTCTGAAACTATGTTTCGAATGATGGGCGCTTGAAGATAAAATTCCAGCATTTGATAAAATATATTCGAAAACTTAGGATCCCCTCACGCGGCCACAGTTTTGGTGAAGGTTTTTTAAACGTACTCGAGATTCACCATGGGGGCGAAATTCAAATTTTATTGGCTGTCATTGTTGTTGTATGATGTTTCCGTGATGGCGGTAAAAAAGTTTGTGTAACAGCGGGTTTATTGCGTGTTCCTTTCTGTAATGGACCTCGGAATAATCTCAAGACTACATGAACAATAATTAAGCCATCCATCGTTGCGGTTGGCGTCCCGCCAAATAAAGCCAAGGAATTCAGAAGCTCCAGTAAATGTTTTATGATAGTCAGCATACGCTATATCGGGTGTGCTACAGGGTTTCATCTTCACCGTCATACTGACACTGATAGTGCCGCTGGCAGAGTTCGCGGACTTACGGACAGAACTGGGGGACAGCGCAATAGGGTGACCAAATCCTGGTACAAATTCAAATAACGGGTTTGTGGACGCGTAAAACACGCTCGGTCGGGAACTATAAGGGATGTGATCTACGGGCAAGCCATCATACTAGGCACGAAAGTCACGGTGCCGTCATCGCAACATCGCACTCCAGTTCGTAAGCAGTCCCGTACATGAACGTCTTCAGAAGTCAGGGAGGTTTGTTATGTTAGT